ATCTTTGCTTTCTCTAATACTGGAGATAAATCCTGTACCTCACAAATGCTACCAACTGTTGTAACCCTGACCCACCACTCCCAGATCCCTCCAATATGAGCATTCAGACCTGTCTGCCCGGTTGAACTAGCTTTATTCTGTTTTTAGTGACTGGTAGCCTATTTTTTTTTTTTTAATGACCTTTATCTGCCAGCTTTTAAGGGTACAATTCCATGTGCATATGTCCTTGAATGCTGGGACACTTGCTTAGCAGTTTCCATCTTCAGCTTCTCATTCAAATGAAGAAAGATCTAAAACTGATTTAGGTCACTGATAAACTAGCTTGTGGTTCAGATAGACACAAAAATCTGGAGTAAAGGTTTTTGAAACAAAAATTAAATGGGATCCATAAATACGAGCTGACTTTATCCAGTGTGATTTCAAGCTTCCTGAAGAATGTATTCTTGGGCTGCAGAATTGGCTCAGTGTTTAAGAACAGTGACTTCTCTTTCAGAGGATCTGGGTTCAGTTCCCAGCACCCACATGTCAGCTCACAGCCATCTGTGACTCCAGTTCCAGGGGATCTTGTTTTTTGTTTTGTTTGTTTTTTTTTTCCAAGACAGGGTTTTTCTGTATAATAAACAGCCCTTGGTGTCCTGGAACTCTCTGTGTAGGCCAGGCTGGCCTTGAACTAAGAGATCCACCTGCCTCTCTCACCCAAGCTCTGGGATTAAAGGCGTGCCCTACCACTGCCGGGCAGTTCTGGGGAATCATATGCTGTCTTCTGGTCTCAGAAGGCCCCAGGCATACACGTGATACTCAGAGGTACATGTGGACAAAACAGAATAAAATAAATATGAAAAAAAAAATTACTCTCCCAATCCAGGGTCATGTTACCTTTTTCAAATATTTATTCACATAGGTGGCAATTTTATGTCAGTTCCTCAGAGAAATTGATTACAAGACAGCCTTCAAGTCATTGCAGGAACAAAACAGGTATTTTTTTTTTATTATTTTTTTAAAACATGAGTCTGAAGCTTTTGCATTAAATAATGAGAGATTGTGTTTTGCAGCCATGACGCTATGGACTCCTACTATGACTACATTTGGGATGTCACTATCTTGGAGTACTTGACTTGTATCCTTCCACCAGTGCATGTGATGTCACAGCAGTTCATGTCTGTCATTTCAAGTATTTCGTACATGCCCCTAATCCCAGCACTCAGGAGGCAGAGGCAGGTGGATCTCTGTGAGTTCCAGGACAGCTGGGACTACACAGAGAAACTGTGTTGAACCCCCCCCCCAAAAAAAAAAATACTTCATGGAACATGGTTTCCAAGCTAAAACAGAAACAGTTCAGAATTTTAAAAATATGTCACATATATGATTGTGTATATACACATTCTGCAGTGTGTATGAATGTCACACACACTGAGGACAACCTTGAAGTCAATTTTCTTCTGCCATGTAGGTCTTGGGGGTTGAGCTCCGGTCATTAGATTTGGCAGCAAGCTCCTTTACCTGCTGAACCACCTCACCAGACTCACAGAATTGAGACACTTTATTTATATAACAATCAGTTTTATTACCCTCCCCCCCTTTGGTTTTTCGAGACAGGGTTTCTCTGTGGCTTTGGAGGCTGTCCTGGAACTAGCTCTTGTAGACCAAGCTGGTCTCGAATTCACAGTGATCTGCCTGTCTCTGCCTCCTGAGTGCTGGGATCAAAGGCGTGCGCCACCACTGCCCTGCTCAGTTTTATTATTCTTAACTGCACATTCAGATCTTCATCATAAAAGAGGAGAAACAGATAAAAGACAGATTGCTGTAAGTTGCCTTACCCTTTCTTCAGTGATGTTATTTTCAGAATATTAAACAATTTAGATTTGTGAGATTGAGCAAAGATCCTGTTTGCCCATTTACTGTCAGAATTTAGTTATCATTTGCTTGTAATGTTAATTGACTTTAAAATGTTAGAAGATTTTGTAATCTGTTGTAAATTTTCA